TCATCATCTTCTTCTTCTTCTTCTTCTTCTTCGTCATCTGCTCCTTCTATCGGATCCATATCGTAGGGAACATTATTCATTTGAATTATTTGCTCAGCATGTTTATCTTGGTTTTTATATGCAACACAATGTGACAAATTCCGCAACATTTGCAAGACTGCGAGTATGGGGTTGAGCTTGTCGGCCACAGCAACAATGCTTTGAGTTCCGGCTTTGGTCAGATTCCAAAGAAGCACCACTGACATTGTCACTCGCTTTCTAATCCTCTGCTAGTTGTGTGAGTTTTTAAGCCAGTCCAGCCCGTCCAGGCAGTCCAGGGTTTTACCATGCCGTATGAATGCTTGGCGTTGACATTACATTGTGTTGCTCTATGCATGTGCCTGTGAGGGAGTGTGTGTTAGTGTGAGTGCAAGAGTGCGTGTGTGCGTGTGCGTGTGCGTGTGCAGCCTTGAATGTACTTTGCTTGTTGTGCTTATAAGTACTCTGAGTTGCTTTTGCTCTGCAAATGTACTTTTGATGACATTTTAAATGCTATTGTGGCTTTCGTGCCAGCTGGCTTTAAAGACCTAATCAATAAGCCGCTCCAAGCAACAGTCATACAAGTATCTCAACAGATTCAATTGGAACTTTTCCCAAAATGCTTGCGGAAGTGAAACGAAGCATATAACTGTTACTCAGGCAAAAAGTAGAGGAAGAAACCCCGAAAACAAAATAAGCAGAAACACCTCTGTTCGAGATTGAAAAAGAAAAATTGTTTTATGAAAACAAATCTGGTTTGAATTTTTTTGCTCTCTTTTTTTGCGCTCAAAACAAACAAAACACGCACGTAAGGGAAAACTTTTTAAGGAATTTGTTGAGTTGTTGACACGCCGCGCCGCTTCATTTTTCCAGCATAGAAAAGATGCGCCTTAGTTGAAATAACAAAAAAAAAGAAGAAAAAAATTGTCAACAACAGCAGCGTTTTTGTTTTATATACATATATATTCGGTTTTTATTTAGGTGTATGGTTTGTTTTAAGATAGCAAAAATTTATTCAAGCCTGCGCTTCAAAATGCTTTTGCATTTTAAAGCGAAAGCGTCAAAAGACAAAGGAAACTCCTTGTAGGGCCCAAACATTTTTTCACAGCTGTTTGTGCGCACCGTATAGGTCTATCAGACTTAATTAAATTTGTATATGTATATAGCATTGCTAAACCGAAGGCTTGAGGTTCGAGGAGCATGTGTTGCCTACTTGTCGACTGCCGAAAATTGAATTAATTTTTCATCTCTTGGATTTGTTTTAGACAGCGGCCCAAGAGTTGGGCAATGCCCCAGGCAGAGCATAATATTTTTCACCAAGTTGCTGAATAGAAAATGAAGCTGTAAAAATCGAAAATCAACAGTACAGACCGAACTTTGAATTTGCAAATTAATTTAATCGTAAATTGCAATGGTTGCGGTTGAACTTTGATGAGATTCTTGATTGTAAATAAAAGAATTTTGAAATCATTTAGCATTTTCAATTATAAAGTTCACTTACACTTTGCTTAACCACACCACATAACGTCTTTGACTTTAGAAAATAAATTGACAAATTATTAGATTAAAATGTGAGCACACAATTATATTAAAGGCATGAACCGAGCTATTATAATGTTAATAGTGGTGGAAAGCAAATAATGCAAATTTCTGTTGCCGCAAAAATATTCCGAAAAACATTTTTAATTGTGTGTAAGCTATTGTTATCCAAAACTTTTACCGTGCCGTTATCATCACCCACACACACTAAAAAGAGCTGCCCTGCATGGAAAACAGAATTTTGTAGTGTCTATGGCCGCTCATAGTTTTAAGCACTATACTATACGTAAATTGAATTTCAAAAATACATATTCATTTTACACTCACTGGTTTACCTTTTGGCATGGCCTGCTTTCTCTATTTGGCACAGGCATATCATGACCCACCTATTTTTCAGGGAAAATAATACGTAATGGACAAGTTAAAGCCGTTGCACTCAACATATAGTACATATAGAGCATATGTACTTGCATGGGTTTGTGTGAATATGCGGCTTGTAAGCACCAGTTGCCTGCAAATCAAACTACAGCTGGCTCCTCTTCACTTTCAATGAAAATGCAAAGCATATGGCATTTACTGAAACTATTTTCGATTTCCTCAATTGTCACTTTTCAAGTGACGACTCGTGTCATTTGTCAAGTATTGCACAAGAATGTCAATTGTCACAAAGCTGATGTTATGCCTGTGTTATGAAAGTATTTGTAGCTATTCCTTGGTAATATATTGAAAAATGAATATGCATCTGTACATGCATGGATTAAATAGCCTTTATAGAATATATGCACTGCCAATACGAGTAATGCTTATACCGAGAACAAGGTACACTTCTTCTAAAATGCTGTTTTTAAATAAGCACACCTAAATCGCATCTGATATATGTATATAAACAATTGATTAAGTCTACATAATTGTACTTGACCCACAAAATTTAAATATACCGGCACAACTACAACTCATAGCGAAAATAACCATCATTAGTGCTTAAGTCACGCAACTGCTGAAAAGTTATTTGGGAATTATTGTCAAATTTTGCTTTTTTTAATATATTCAAAATTAATTAAATTTTATTTAAGAGAGAGTAGAATTTTTAATGCTTTATTCTTTATTTAAGATCTGCCCTAAGAAGGACAATTATTAAATTATATGGTAGCAATTAAATAAGTTCAATCAGGCGTTCTGTCATGATGGTTGTGACGTGATTAAGCTGGAATAGAATATTTAATAGTGTACCAATTTGTGTTTCTATAGATTTCTATTAAATTGAATAATACTTCAGTCTAGAATTTTTCTATGAGTGTACATAGGAGGTGCTTATACTGTCTCTGTCGTCAATTGTACTTTTGTGTCAATGTGCAAGAGAAACTTTCTCCAATTCATGTTTCACAATTCTATCATTGAATTGAATTAAATGATATCATTCTACATTCGATTAAGTTGTGATGATGATGGCAAAGTGTGCTTCAGCTATTAGTCGGGGGCATTTTTCTTTACAAATTGAGTTTGCAGCAACTTAATTATATCAAGGCGCAATTAGATCGAAACAACGCATGCATGCAAGGACCTGTTCGAAAGAGCCAATTTGTCCGTAAAGCAGGTGCAAATGAGTGCCAGCAACAACTGGGAAAGGAAACTGCACTTGGGCCTCTGTATCTGCTATGGACTCTACAAACTACTCAACTACAAGTATGTTGCTTGCGCTGGAAATTGAATTGCCTGCCTGGCTCCAGTTGCCAGACCACTTAGCATGCACACACATCGAAGTTTCTGCCTTCCAAAGCGTATATAGTATGTGTAAGTTGAAAGGAGCTCAGCAGCAGCTACCGTGTTATGTGTAGGTGCAATAAACCGGTAGCTGTCTATCTTTTTTTATGCACAAAGATCTTCCTGCCGGTAGAGTGTTTCCTTTTTTCCCCGCACTAGTATTTGCATAAAGTCAAGTACTTAAAGGCTGCCAACTCGCCATTTACATGTTTATGTGCTTTCCAGCAGTGCGGCTTACATGGCTGCACTCTCCTTCGTTATGTAAAGACGGCACAAGTTACGACTGCACACATATTTTAGCTTCATTTTTGGTTTCACTGCAATTTCTAGTCAATTTTTCAATTTATTTGTTCAAAGTGTAAACAATCATAAAAAAACACAAAAAAATTTTTTTCAATTGCCATGGAAGCGCTTGTTTTGCCTAAGGGGGAATGCAGGCCCACAATCGTAATTGTAATTGTTGATAGACTGGGACCAGTTGGCGTTTTCCAATTATGCTAAAACAACAAGTAATGGCCTCAAACAATGCTGCTGGCCCATAAATGCAATAAATGAAATCAAAACTCATTTACCATTATTCACAATAAATATTGTTTACTAGTTAATGGAAGCACATAGACAATTTTCAATAATTAGTCACTATATTGATTACCACCAATTCAATTATGCCAATTGAAAAACACTAAAAACACATCCATTTATGTACACATATACATATAAACAAACAGGCGATTAATATAGACACACTGCAGTTGTACATCAACTTTGTTGCACAACAATATAAGTATATTAAAGCGAGCGATGTTCAAATATCATAAAAACAACCTATTCTTAAATGCTTAAAGCAAAAAATAAAATGTAAATGCTTACCATTTCATTAAACTTGCATCTGCTTCTGCGGAATCTGCGGGAAATATAAACAATGGTATCATGAAGGTTGATTTATCAGAATATAAATATTTAAGAGAAATGGGAAACATCTGTGTTGTTTTCTTTGAAAACAATTAATAATGACAAAACAAAACAGTCATTTAAAACGCTCGCAGACAGCATGACATGTGAATGTTAATTAAAAATTTGTTATTGTAAATAATAAACTAATTGAATACACATAGCTCGTTGCTCGATGCATGTGTATAGCGCTTAGGAACAATACAGAAATAATTTATTGAATTACTTTTACAAAGCTTCGTAATTAGAAATACACACTATCTAGCAATTCTGTTGAACACGACATGTTGCAACAACGCAATTAATTGTGTGGCGTTGCGTTTAAGAAATGTATTCTCGCATAAGCCCGATGTCACACTTTTAGCCAACTTCAGCTCTCGCCTACTTGTAAGCTAGCAAAGGATACAAGTTAAATGAAATTTACATTAAAGCACTTCCTTTTGTTGTTTTTTTTTTTTCAGCGAACGTTGAGCACACGCACGAACGCACGCACGTTTACGGTCTGTATGCTGTTAGTCAACGGAAACGGAAGTTACAACGCGGCAACCGGAAGTAGAAGCTGTTGTTATTGAGTCAGCAGCAGAGGCAGTGGCCGTGAAAGGAGCCCTACCTCCATTTCCATTTAGAATTCAAAGCGGAAATCATCAAGCAGTCGCAGATTCTTGTCCCAAAAGAAAAAATTGTAACAATAATGCCGAAATTTAAATTGAAGTGTTGTAGAAACGACAGCATAATGCAACATTATGTGTGAAATATAATAACACACTCTCGACTCTAAAAAGAAAAAGAAAAAATTAAAATCTGAACCAAGACGGGAGAAATCTGAAATATACAGCTTGTATTGCGACAACAATAGACCGGGGCACTTTATTTAACGACAAACGATTTATAAACAGTGCGGGCGCGCTCAAAAGTAGGCAACAAATAGCATGGCGGACATGGAACGCATAAGGCTGGTGCTGCTCGGAGGCGCGGGTGTTGGCAAAAGCTCTATTGTAAAGCGTTTCCTTTTCAAAACCTACACGGACAAATATCGTGCCACAGTCGAGGATCTCTACAATCGTGAATACGACTTGGGTGGCGTCACGCTTAAGGTAAGTAAAGACTACTGCAGGGCTGGTAGCCAAGGGTTGGGTGACACGGTGAATGGCCTGTTAGAGGAGGGAGAGGGGTGTCAGTAAACGGTATACCCATAACCCCAGCTTTTCTGCAATGCATTAGCACAAGTGCACTGAGTAACTTTTGTTGGTCGCGTGCATGTCGCCATTTCCGAGTTTGTTTATGTGGTGTACTATATTGTAGATGGTTGTTGTTGGGTTGTTGTTGTACTTGCACCGACATTAGGGACATTTAACCTGGAATTTTAAGTAAGCATAAAATGTATTGTCTTCACTTGGCTTCTCCTGCCTGAGCCTGCGCCAGCTAACCATAATGCCCGAGGCTACAGCAAAACAGGTCATCTTGCAGTTCAGTTAATGCCGCTTTACCTCACAATGCACAATTACCAGCAATTCGGTTGAACCTTAAATTAAATCAATGCAGACGCGCCCACACATTTAGGCTTAAACTCCTCAAGGCGGCTGTCTCTTATGCTCTCTCTCTCTCTCTCTCTCTCTTTCCCTCCATCACTATCTGTCCATCACTATGGCATTAATTAAGAGCTTAACAAACACTAGCTGCATCTATAGGATAATTGGCATATCTTGTGGCTTTTCATCGGCCTGTGCGGACATGTACGAGTCTATGACATGCCCAGTTGCTAAGAAATCGTCGCAGCTTCAACTTGTTCAGTGCATACTAAGCGCTAAAATGTTGCCTGCGCTTTATTTAATATGCATAGGTACACAGTTCACATAAATATTTGCATACTCGCAAAGATGAACGACGTTACTATACAGGATAGATGTATGCTGAGATTACAATAAGAGTTGTTTAAACTTGTTGGAAGTGCACTTCGCACGTGCCAAAAGTCTCCTTAAGCCGTTCTAAAATAAACATGAATCCGCTCTTTTGAAGAATCTCCCGACTGTACCGCATAGAAAGGGGCAACATATTTATATACCCAGCTTAGGCTAGAAGCAGCGCATAAATGCCAAGACAACAAAATTAAAAAGCATTTTCAATATTTTTGCAATTAACAATAACAAAAAGTACAATACCCCATAGAAAAGTGGTTTCTCAGATGATTGAGTTGGCGCGGAGGCGAAAAAATGAAACATAAAACCTGCCACCATAACGGGATGCAAGCCGTGCCATTTGAAGCTTAAAATACCTAGAATTATATTCCTTATATCCATTAGTATCAAGTGAATGGTTGGCAACAGTCAGAAGAAGAGGTTGGCAGACTGTTATTTCGTACATTTAAAAACTTGCGTCCAAGCTTCTTATTGGTTAAGGAAACCGACTAGTTTAGATTAGTCTTTAATACAGCTTTCATAGCTATGATATGGTTTCTAACGATTAGGTTTTTATAAAGGAATCGGATCCAAATAGAAAATATACCATTATTAATTATTGTGTGTTCAAAAAATGTTAAAAGTAAGACGATTTTTCATATAAATATTTCAGTATTTATAGACTATGTAGTATGCTAAGTATGTATGAATTCATAATTATTTAGCAATTTGCAAATTACTATAAAATATTGAAAGTACCTAAGTATGTGAAAAACTTTGTGAGAATTTAAACTTTAAACAAAAACTAACTTTTTAACTTTCGAAAAACCAATTGTTGTGCTGGCAGATTTCAGCTAAAGAAACTGCCGGGCTTACAGCTTTGACCTTAACCTAATTAATGTAACAAACAAATCGTTCTTTAATTTCTTATCTATACTTGTATGTAAAGATCATTATACTAGTACTACAAGCAAGAAATTCAACATAAACAGTTACATTTTTATATTTTCATTATTTTTTAATCTCGAAGGCTTAAACTGACTATTCCTGCTTTGTAAAAATTAAGGCTCGTTAGGCCCCAATAAGAAAACCTTCTACATTTCTACCAAATTCAATAAAACCACATGCTGCCAAGCCATAACACACATAATGTGCTATGAAATGAGGCGTAAGGAAATAGAAAAACCATTGCTTGTGCAAAATTGCTGAGAAAACCTCAACTGAGCCCATTTAAATGGTTAATTTAATATGCTTTAATAGTTCAATATAATGCTGCCGTTCCCCCTAATTATTTCTTATTATGTGTCACTGAGCTTAACTTGCCGCTTCAGAGGCGCTGCCTCATTAATCAAATTTACATGCTAGATCCCCCTCTGGCTCTTTCCTTACACGGACTTTGGAATGCTCGAAAGTGTAACTAAAACTTTAAAATGTAACACATAAAACACAAATAAACACGCACACACACACACATACACACACAGACACATGCAGACTCCAACACTTGCGCTTGAGTGCACAACATGTTATGGATTTTATCAGTGTTTGCGCCATATAAGCAGCAACTCGAGCACAAAGGAGACAAGGCTTTGTTTCAATACTAATGTTTGTCTGTGTGTATGTGTGGGTGTGTGTGTGATGGCCCGATGGTGTGACGGAACATGGCAAAACTTGCTTTGATGGCACATCATTCAAGCTCACTATATGAGTTGATTATTTGCTGCCCAAAGTTGACGCTGTTACAGACTTTGCAACACAACTTGCTCGCCACAGACACGCCGCAAAAGTTTTACCGAAAAGTTGATTAATAGGTATACGGGTGGCAGCATCACTCACAGGCATGCACACACAAACACACTTCCGTGTCGCTATAAATTGATGTTGACTAAACTACACTGATGTTGATGTGATGGCGACAACAACAAGAACTTAGCAGTTTATAATTGTAATGGTGTTGGCGCCAAACTCGTCAACCATCTCCTGCTCTTATCATTTGGAGCAGCTAGAGCAAATCTAAAACCCACAAACACAGACATTGATACCCTTCAAAGTGGACTTTAGTCGCTTAAATTCTTATTTTAATTAAGAACGATTGATGCCATGACTAAATGCTTTTGCACCAACGGGCGTGAGCACTCAACACTTTTTGCCATAGCCTGAAAATATGAGCAAAAATGTCGCACCACTGATTGAATTTGTGGCCCAGTCATAGCTTAAAGCTGCCAATGTGGCTTGCGTACAATTTAAGTGATTTATCTAAAGTGTGTAGTTGATAAATTGCGGTCGCTGTGGGGGCGCAAAAAATGTTGCGTATACGCAATGCTGCCACAGACACGCTGGCAACGGTGTCGTGTCTATGCAAAATGTATCTAGATAAGCTTACATGCACTGAACAAAATTATTTAATATTAACATTTATTGGTAGCTTATTGATTCAGTTAAGGGGTCCAAGCGTAGTTGTGTTATTTTGTTAAAAGTTGTTTTTCATTAATTCGTTTTCATGCTACAGCTTTCAAAGAAACTTAATAGTTTCAGGTAAAAAGATGTGATTAAGTTTAATAGTTGATCCCAAGACTATACTGAGACTTCTTTTTTTTTTTGTAAACTAACTTTTAATTAATTATAAGCTTCTTCTATCTGTAAAGCTTTTTCTTTTAATATTGGTAAATAGGTATTGACGCCTCTGACCACACTTGGCTGTCAGACGGGACACAGCTAGCCGAAAGGCAAATAATATTGATTTGATTTCTCCTACTTTACCTAGGCTTTCCTTTATAAGATTTGTAAGATTTAGATTTTATAAGATTTTTTTTATAATTTGTATACAAACTTTTCTTATGTCGACAGTCAATGTTTGTTGACAAAAATATAAAAAATAAATAAATAAATAATGCTAGTCAATGCCCGAACCTTTAAATGCAAGCTAAAAAGTTCCATAATTTAAACTAAACTTTAGTTTTGCCAAATAAACATAAATATGTGAGCAGGGGATTGGAGTAATACTTTAATGCTAACTTCCAAACAAATTAACATGTTTCGTTCATTTTATGTGAAGCGTGAGTTGTGTTGAGTGTTGAAGACAAAACCACGGAAATTAGTTCATTACATTGCTCTTAAGCCGCTGTTTCCGAATGGCACAACTTATGTAACAGACGGTAGGATGCTTCGCCATTTCTATTCGGAAATAGCTGAGCCCACGTCAAACTTGGTCTCCTTTTTTCTGTGTGGTTTTCCCCCTTTTGCTCCGGAACACTGTTTTATCTATATTTATTTGCAATTTATAATTTCTACCTTCTTTTCAAATTTGATCGAAATCTGCTAACCTTAAATAAGTTATTAATGGCACATTCTACTGCAATACCACGCGCCCAAACTGCAGTGCAAGTCCGGTTTTTTTTATTGGGTATAGGGTATAACCGGGATTGCTCAACTGCTATATTCTCGCTTGTTTTTAATATTGAAGCTGGCTAAATATATTTTGTAGTACATAAGAAATATAATATATATAATATAATAATTTTTTTAGTTGTGACATCGGCGATTTGTTTAAAATTTTCTGTAGTACAACTCGATCTAAAGTTTTTTTTTTTTTTGCTATCAGAACATCCCCCAAGTTTTAAGACCAGTAAATCAAATATATAGCTAAGTATGTAAAGGAAATATTTAGCAAATATATAGTATATGTATACTACAAAGAATACTAGAAAGGCTACAAAGAACATTTCCTTTAAATAAGCACAAAAATGAAAGCATTTTGATCTGGCAACGATGCACAGCCAGCCCGCCACAGATGATTATCGATACATTCCGTAAGAAGAGCAGAGTAGGTAAACGACAAGAGTCGTGTATAGAGAGTAAGAGAGAAAGACGACATCAAGGCGAGGAAAGGTGCAAGACATACATACATACGTCAAAGATCAATTTAAACATATTCTCAAATAAATTTTGTTAATGTTTCAATCAAACCCATAAGTCTATTTAGCAATAAATTAGTTGAATAGACCAAAACCCACGTGTTAAATGTTTTTGCTTTAGATTAACTGACTGCTATTCATAACTGATGGATATTACATTATTTTGAAAGTTTGATTGCAAGTGTAAGGAGTATGATGGGCGTGGCATTGCAGCTATGTGTGTGTGTGTGTGTGTGTGTGTCACTGCCGCTGCTGTGCAATTTGTGCTTTCATGAGTGCTTTGAAATCAATTTTGCGTAGACAATTTGCTTGTCTATCAGACACAGGCGGTGAACGTGCTCGCTGAGCTATTGTTCTTGCTCGTTGCATACATGGCATAAAGCTGTTGCTGCTGTCCATGCGGTTGCAAGTAGCATGGCAGCACGGCAACACGGCAGCACATCAGCACGGACAGATGCGTCAGTAAATGACCAAAACTTGCGTGTTCTACAACATGTATGCAAACATTTCCAATTTGCTGCACACTGGGGAGTGATTGTTGTACATTGTGTACACCTTTGTGTGTGTGTGTGTGTGTGGTGTGTTACTGGCGTGTATGAGCAGCTTTCAAAAGACACATTACACTGTACTCCCAACTTAAATGGCACACTTGGCATTTTACAGTTGAAGAGCGCAAATTAAATGCTTGTCATAAACAAACAATGGGCAAGCGCAGTTGAAAAGGAAAGAAAAATTTAAAATTAAATGCACACCAAGAGCAGAAATCACTCTCTATCATTTTTTTTTTTTTTTGCATTATGCTTTTTCTTCCATTTCTTTTTGTTATAAAAGTTCTCTTCACTTGGTCACAGTATCGCGGCAAAATAACAATGAGCTACAAATTGCCGCACAATGGCGCGCATTATAGCCGTCGATGCGCACACAAACAATGGCACTCGCTCGCATTCGTGTGCGCGCTTTGTAAGTGTATGTGTGAGTGTGTGTGTGTGTGTCTGTATTTGTGTGAGGTTGAGGCGTTTGGCCCGTTGTTGACATTGTGGCCAGCACACAAGGCGTATCGCAAACTCGCGCCGTTATACAAATGCTGACACATGGGATTAGTTCGCATCAAGTGAGCATTCAGCGGCATCAATGGCAGCAGACCGCGTTGGTGGCAGGCTACCCTGCAGTGGCAATTATCGATATTGCTTCGCACTAGCTCGATCATTGTTGTTATTTTCTCTTTAAAACAAACTTCATTTCAAATAAATTCGTGCTTAAATTGATCCAAAAATTATTTATGAATTAAGTATAAGAGTGAAAAAAATGGACCAGAGCTTTCTAATAGATTATCTCCAATACGTTCTGTATATAGCCGCAACCCACTGAAAATTCAGCTAAGTTATACTAACGCAAACTGGTAGTGTATATGAATATCAATATAATAAATATAAGGTTTGGAAAAAAACGGATATAAAATTCTTTCACTTTTTAAAATTATATTCTTTGCGATTAATTAAAGCTAAAGTGGACACAAATCATTAATTATTTCGATATAAAAACTGATATGCGAACTGTATGAGAAAAATTGAAAATCACTTTAAATGTTTGACCACAAACAGAAGAGAAGAAGCATTGCCCTCCACTGTGTCTAACAACAAAACATTATTTATTATAGCTGTTTTACTGTCTCCATACTAATTTATCTCTCTTTATAAAGCATTTTTTTCATTATTTTGCAATTGGTCACCTTTTGCAACCCACGGATGATGCAAATTTATGTAATTTGGCTCCCATATCGTTAGAAATCAGCACGTATTTGCTACTAAAACTATTTTCAAATCATATAATTTCTATGACATTTACATATATAATTAAATATATACCTGTGCTCGTCAAAGAGGACTCAGCTAGCTCCTATTCTTTTTTAACTGGCATTTATCAAAGTAAAGATTATACAGATCTGAATAGGCAGTAAAATACATTAGATGTCTACACTCCCGATCATTGCTAACAGCCTCATGAAGTTCTTTGTACCCACTAGTTGTACTCTACTATATGGATCCAGTCCAGTTCCGCGTGTTATAATTTTTGCATTCATAGATTTGACTTCATTGACTTTCATTGAGGAATTTGCGAATTTGGACACACTCACTGATATACACCAAGTTGATTTCTAGTTGCGATTAATAGGGTCCAGTAACAATGAGAGTATAGTTTTTTTGATCAACAGATAGTTGGGTTTGTTTCAGCTGCTTAATCTTCCTATGAAAAATAATAAAAATATGTAAATATTTGATGCTAGTTCGGGGTACTGCTGGGTCTCTTTTTCGCAGAATTAGTGAGTTTATTGCTCGATGTTGGTCGGGGTTACTATAATAAATGGCATTTAATATTTCGATTAACTCACAAGGGCAGAACTGAAACTACTTGTATGAAAAATATACATTTAAATCAATGCTGAAAATGTGGCTTGTATAATTTTATATAAGTCTGAAATATTTCGTTTCCACAATTTAAACTTGAATTGCCAAAACTATATTCGTCTTCATTTTTCTACTTGCATGCGCATAGAGTGGGAAATTTAACTTTGTTTCGCAGGCAAATAGTGAAAATGTGAGCATATTGTTGATAATTGAGAACAAATATGCATTCGGATTATAGAAATAAGCAATATATTTTGATAAACGAGTGCTTAAGTGCACAAACATTGAGCTGTGAGTGCATACTCGTGCAAAAAGTACAACATTCAAGTTATTTAAAACTATATAAACATATAAATGGCCAATTATATTGTTTGGAGTATCGAAACCATAAAGTGTTTAATGTAATAGTGCAGCATATTAAAATCATTCTCATGCCACGTGGCGTATGCGTAATACTACTTTATGTAACTATAAAGGTATTTTGTTGCAATTACTGTATACATATATGTACGTTTAAGAGCCCTCATAGGCAGCAGAGCCAATCAACATACACTAGCCATATGCAAATTAATATTACACATACGCCTCGTGGTCAGGCGCACGTTAATCAAATTGTTTTTTGATATAACATTATTTTCTCATTTGATTTTAATTACATGCGGGTTATTTTTACACCCGACGCTTATTAATTTATGAAACCACTTTGGTTGTTGTTGTTGTTATTCTGCCACAGGTGGACATTCTGGATACCTCCGGTGACATGCAATTTCCCGCCATGCGCCGCCTTTCCATTGCCACGGCACACGCGTTCATGCTCGTCTATGCCACAACATCTGCGCCCAGCTTCCAGTGTGTCAAGCAATGCTTCGAGGAGATACGCGAGCAACGTGGCGACTTTCAGGTGAGTGTCAGTTACAATGGCGTCCTCGCCATGCATTTTGTATGCAATTAACGCCCACAGTGCCAAATGCACTAATTGCCAGGCAAATGCCCAAGCTTGACGGTCAGCGCATGACTTTCATTTCAGCCTAAAAGCGCTGCGTCAGAGTGTTAAGCCGAAAAAAGGAAGGTTCAAGAAGAAACTACAAGCCAATTAGAAGCCAACAAAATCACTCATACGCAATGTGCAACCCAATTTTTGTGCCCCAAAGCAATTAAAAAGGATGTCAACTCAAGTCCAACAACTGTTAAGGCTTGTTTTCATTCGTTTTTGCTTTTCAGCACACGCCAAAGTGAGCCTAAGTCTGCCACAAATCTCTTGTTTTTGGCCCCCATGTCCTAGCGACGAGCCTCAATTACACTACCTAACAGTCTTTCCTATCTTTCTCCTTCTTAATGGGCTGGGATTCAATGAGAAAGTTTAGTTAAACATGCACGTCAGATTCGTATAATACTATGTCCAAAAGAGACATGCTTTCCAAAAATGAGCTGAGATGTAAGACTGTAGTAGTAGATGGACTGCTAAGAAACTTCTCGCGAACATTTTTAGATTTCAATTAATGACTCCCTTTAGCTAAAGTCAAAACTGTCCTTGTATAATGTTCTGGAATGCGTATATGTTACATAAGTTTTGTAATCCATACCTATGCATTCCACGAAATCATCAAACCAAGGATTGTTTTGTTTTTGAATTCTTCTTTTGTCAACTGCTTACTGTTCTTTATAAGATTTTATATTATGTGTGCGTTTCACCTTTTCAATCATGGAGGGACGTGTTCAAAATTTGTTTACCAAAATATCGTATTGTTGGTTTAATTAAGTTTATTACAATTGTTCGGTTACTTTCCCTTATTACAATTAACAATGTTTTATAACCTTGCGTTTAATTCAAATTTCATTTAGCGTCCTCCTTCTTTGTCTGGTCAATATCAATTGATCACTTACTTCTTCACTATTTGGTCACTGCTAGTTAGCGATTACGGGGTGTTCCTACTATTACCCAGTTAGGGATGCCCATCCCTACAGTATAGATATAGTTTTTTTCACTTGAGCACTTTTTATCTTTAATAGTTATTAGTAATTTTATCAACACTACTTTATTCTTTTGGTATAGTTCAGAAAAGTGTTTTTAATTGTACTGATAGGCCACATAAAAATAATATTTATTTATATATATTTTTATCAATTTCCACTTGCCGGTCACTTTTCTTCAAATGACCATCAAAATAAAAGTACAGATTTTGTTGGTCAGTGTTTAAGCATATTTTCTTTTATATGCCGCTTCGCTTTAATTTTGCCTGCTTCAGCGAACTTACCCATTCACTCACTAGCTGAAATGACTGCAATACACAATTGAGGAGCGAAAGAAGGAGAGAAATAAGCAATAAATAAGGAGAAAATACCGGCTTAGCCGCTTGTTTTGTTTTGCTAATTCCCTGCCCTCATTTACAGGACATTCCCATTGTTATCGCTGGCAACAAAGCTGATTTAGCGACCACCCACAGAGAGGTCAAGCAGGAAGAGGTGACGGACTGGGTGTTCTGTGAATTGCCACGCTTGAGGTAAGTTTCCCAGACTCTGTTAATTTGAACGCAAAGGCTACAGCTTATGTCGCCAAAATGTTGGAATGTGCGTGTCGAAGCAAATAAACACGAACATGTGCGCAATATGCATGCCTTAACACAATCTAAAGATCAGACATTATTTCAACACACACATGAACATATTTAAACACGTTTGTAAATTGTGCTCTTTAAGAAATAAAAAATGGGTTAAAAAATCTGCATAATTATTAGTCAGTCTCTGTAGAGAGCCTTTGAGCTGTACAGGTAAGTATATGCAGAAAATGGCATACGAGTGTGGCATGCAACAACAACTGTAACAATAAAAGGGAAAAAATATCGAACAACACATATAGCCATGTAATAGCGCAATTACCAACGGCAAGCAATAGTTGATAATGAAATTAAAATGTACAGCAGGAGGCAAAAGCCAACCAACCATTTCCATAAGTAGCGGGCAATGAAAAAAAATACACAAAAAACGTAATAAAACGCGTAATAAATTTTTGCGTCAAGCAAATGTGGCAGTCTGGTTGCAAAATGGCAAAATGGCCAAATAGCAAAATGGCCAAATGGCAGGGGCGGTGTCAGCGACAAGAGCAGCTGCAACCATCACAAATGCAATTAAATGCTAGAAATGAAATTAAGCGACAAAAAGCGTGACTGTAACTGCGACAGCAAATGCGACTGTGACTCGAGCTGTGACTGCCGCCAACGTGGAGGAACACGGCATAGGAGAGAGGGTCCTTGAAATCAGATTCAGATTCTGTTGAAAAAATTGTGGGAGCTTCTCGGAGCCGAGCGACGCAATTTGTAATTCCAGTGAAAAATATGTTTTCATTTGTAAAACAAAAGCTCAAAAACTAAAGTACCACATGCGCATTCATTTACGTTTATATTTTTATATTTACATTTATTTTGCGCTTATTTGTGTCGACTTTAATATTAGCATATTTAACGCGCAGATGCTCAGCCACAGTAGCAAAAATGTAGAAGGTTTAAAAGTGTTTAGTTATTGACTTTAATGTTTGTTCAAGATTTCAAAGAATTCTCTGTCGGGTGCAACTAAGATTGCAGTAAAAATATCGATGAACAATAAATTGTAATTCTTATTGTTTCACGAGTTAATTTAAATCTTTTCTGAATTAACTTAATCCCTTTCTGGCAATGTTTCTCCAGTTTTGGTCAAAAATCAAACCTATTATAGCATTTGTTCCCTTAGCCAGCAAGGTTAGATATGTAAGCTTCTTGATAAACATTTGATTAGCTTCTAGAGTGAAAATAAATGGATTATCAATGTAATATGTAAATCCCTTATCAATTGTTACCGTTTCCATTTTATAGACTTGTTTAGATCTTGTAACAATTATGTTACGGCGGTTGCCTTTAATATCCCATATATGCTTCTTAATGACTTTTCAATATGTAGTTGCATTTTATCGTATTTATATTTATTTGAGTCGCCAATTACTATTTTCCAAGCAGCATTTAATAACATTTTAAATATGGGGAAGGCTAATAGAACAGTAAATCAAACACATGGCACAATTACAAGAAACGTCTTATTTATTCAATCCCTCGAAAGAGACTGAGCTCGAGCTACAAGGTACAGCGAGTTCGAAGAAACAGCTGAGGCGCTGTCAGAGTTCCTGTCTAAATACGTATTCTACTACAAATTTTTATAGACAGCACACCGTATAGATTCTGTGCTTACCCCCAGCCTTTTTCTTCCTTTTGATCTTCCTAGAATGATTCGGATTCCCCTGACTAACTTTTCATTCACTCGTGTGTTTGTGGATTTTGCTTCTAAGAACTTAATAAAGTTCGATGTTGTATAAATGTTTCTTTAATTGGCTGTTAACAAATTCATATCAACTGTTTGTTTTATTTTCTTCAATTGAAATGCTCTAAAATGCATGGTCGAAGCCTGTTTCAAATCAAACAATTGAGCAACTGAACAGCTTAATCTGATCGAATTTCTTCCACGCAATTAATCCCATTTTCTCTGCATTACCAAGCAATCAAATTCAGTTTATAATGATGAAGTGTTAATAATTTAGTTTCTTAGCATCTTCCTCGATTGAAATTTTGTTCATTCTTTAGCTTAGTCATTAGCATAACATAACAGTTAACGACACATAATTATTAACTGCTGTTAATGCTTGCCACTTACTTGCCTTTAGCTGTTTTCAACAGGCAGCTTTCATGTTGTAATTGTACAAATTATGCATGAATAATAAACTGCACGCAATGCTCATAAAAATCACTTATGTTTGTGAGAGAGTCTGCCTGTAAGAGCGCCTGAAAGCATGCAGTGTGTCGGCCACAGTTGCCACAAATTCATGTTGGTGTTTAAGGATGCGTGAGTAAACTTATTTAAAAAAAAATATACATAGATTCACATGAAAGTAGAGATGACTCACATGCTGCACTCAGACAGAGCACGTGCTCAGTAGCATGACAGAGCGTGCCGCGCATACAAACATACACACACACATACACATATACCTGTACATTACTCGAGGACTCTTACAAATCTCTGTTGGATTAAACATTTACGCAGATTGATGGTGTGGTTTGACGCACCTTGAACTTCTGCGCTCAGCCACACTTTACATGCCAACTTTACAGTTTTTCCCCCTCGGATTTTTAATGTGTGCTCGTGTGTGTGTATGTGTATGTGTGTGTTTGTGTGTGTGTGTGTGTGTGTGTGTGTTTGTGGTCGAGTTTGTGGCTATCCTGTCCGTTGTGGATTCGTGTGGTGACGCATGAAAGCACTGCAATTTGTTGCCGTGGGTCAGCGTCTGTCTGTCTGCGGCTTAGCGCTTCAAGTAAACGACTGCTGAGTGCATTTATTAGCGTTAATAACTGGTACACCCTTTTATTCTCAAGGGACCATGCACACACTTGACACACAGGTTTGTTTTCCTCTACAAATGGGTTACAATTAATCGCAATCTAATCGTTCGTAAATGTAAATACTTTTTTTTTGAAAGTGTAATTAAGTTAAAAAACATTTTTGTCGAGACATAGTATCTCTGAACTGTAAGCCATCAAACATAATTTCGTCACATTCATAAGCTTAATTTCAATTTGAAATTTAAATCGTTTCTATGGTGCACCAAAAAGAGGGGGGAGGCATCGTTATTTCAGTTAAAATGGAAATAAAACTCTTTGAAACAGTACAGTAAAGGTACAAATTTAGTTACAAAAATAAAGCGACACCTTGCTCATTCCTTTAATAATGGTTTGATCAACAGTTTATTTCCTCTTTTTAAGGCTAACCCATTTCATTGACAGATGAAGGCTTGTTTTTTGAAACTAGAACTGATACAGAAACCTTTTCTAACCTTTTCGATGTAATTTATTTATTTAATTTACGATTTAATTTAGTTAGAAGAATAAAGCGGAATTTTCCTCATTCCTTTAAAAATGGTTTCATCAACAGATTATTTCTTTTTCAATTCTAACCCATTTCTTTGACAGATAAAGGCTTGTTTTTCAAAATAAAAACCGATACAGAAATGTAAAACGCTCTAAGCTTTTCGATTAAATTTAATTAAATTTTAGTACGCAGCTCAGTATAAAGTTTACGTGAGTAAAAGTTTTTAGACAGACAACTTGGCCATGTTTGGCTAAAGGCAAACCTCCGAATATTGGGTTTACATGACGACGAAAGCCATGTTCAATGCTGTTACCATGCCCAGCGGCGCTGGCCGCATCAACAATCAAGTTTATAGCTCGTCCCTTCGTTGCCACACCACCTGCAAACATATCACGCTTAATTTGGCCATTAGTAGAGCATACACAAACACACAAACACACACACACTCACACACACACAGATGCTACAGTTAAAGCCGTTTCGTACAAAAACTAGCTTTATTTTACCCACGTGTAGGAGAGCTGCATGTGTGGATTTTTGCGGCAAAGTGTTGTCTGTTATAAATTAGACTTTTTGCTGCACTTTTTGCACTCTTATTTCTTTTTTTTTTGACACGTTTTCCATTTTCCACGGCTGAAAGCCGCACATTTGCTTTTCTAACATTGTAATTTCTGGCACAAGGTTGTAATGTCACGCAAAATAGCTGTCATTGTTTGTGGGTTTTTGTTCAAAAACTAACCTGCAACATACAAGCACGTGTACATGGAACGACGTATACGTAATTTATACGGCAAGCCACAAAGTACGGGTTTGCAACACTTACTGCTTTGAAAATGTTTCACAGTTTTTCTAGCACCCAACACTGACCCTACACTTGCTGTCTACTTCATTGCAGGGCCAAGGTGGTGGAGTGCTCGGCCAAGGAGGACACCAACGTGACCGAATTGTTTAAAACCCTCTTATCCCTCTCCCGGTTCTTGCCGGCTAGCAGCACCACCAGCGGAGCCGGCAGCAGCGATGCTGCGACCAGTGGTTTCAAACGACGCTCATCGGCCTATGTCAGTGCATCGTCCAGCCGCAGTAAGTATAATGAACAAAGTTTGTTAACTGAACTAATTAAGTGATACACATACCGCTTTTTGCACAAACAATAATAAAACAAGGGACAAAAACATGATATAACATCACCGTGAAAACAAAAGCGATTGTTCTTTCAAATGAATTTCATACTCGTAGATGTAACAATTGCAAAAAGTTGCCTTTTTTAAAGAGTATAGCTTTATAATTTTACCGTAGAAGAAGAAACTAGTTTACTTTATTGTTTTTATGCAGTGTTCTGTAGTATGGCATTTTATTATTGTCCGGTTATGTATATTTTATCTAAAGATTTATAGAGAAATTCAGAAATTTTTAATTAACCTCTCGATTAATCAGAAAACAAGTATCACACCTATCCAAAATTTGTATCTTATTTGTTCAACAGATACGATCATCTATTTATGTCAAGAAGACATCGATTTGTTTTGTATTTATAGAAATCGAAGAAAGTCAAATTTAGATTTAATCCTATATATGAAAGATTTGTCACCAATCTATACAAGTAGTACATTTTTCTTGAACTGATCCAATTATGTGAGGTACTAAGTGGCTCAATTTTGATAAAAAAAAACCTAGTGGTTATATTGGAGTAATTTAATTCCAGTTAATGTTTTTAGATTGCAGCCGTTATAAATATTTATATATCTTTGGCCTTTTTAAGTTTAGCTTGTAAGGAATGGCTACAAAATAGTTATCGCTGTCGGTTTTAGAAGAACGTGGGTAGAAACACAACTATAAGTAAAAGAAACTATAAACAATTAGCTAAAAAATTGATAGAAAACCCGCTAGAAAAAAGCTATAAACACCGCAAAAATGTGTTAAAAAATTGATAGAAAATCTGCCACCCATCTCTTTAGAGCCACAGAATATAAAATTCTATTTCCACTAAAAAATATACTTGGAATCCACCACAAAAAACGGCGACTGAGAAAAGGTTGCTGCTCCAGCAAACAAAATCGTGACATAAAATATTTCAACTCAAAAATATTATATTAGCGCCCAACTTGCTAACTAAATCTCAAGAATACATACAATGATATTAAATTGGAGGAACATAAACATGTTCAAGATACGGAATGTTACAATTGGACCTTCAGATTCGCGATTGCCAACCTCATTTGCCCATTTGGCCAAAGGCAGGTGCCAACCTTTGTACTTCTAGCTATAAACTTTCCTAACTACAAGTAGTCAGAAAATGTTTCAATAATAATACAACTGATGCGTTCAACCCATCATCGTTTGTGAGTTGAGTTTCTGCGTAGAATTACCAATTTCCGTTTTTTGCTTGAAAAACTTTTCCTGTTGATTGAGATATTTCCAAAAAAGGTATTTGTACTTATGATCAATAACGCTGTTGAGGGGCCCCCAGTGACATCTCCTTTAACTTTTCAATTTCAATGCAAAAACTTCTCAGCGTTGTTGCTTTGAGTCATATTTTCCTCTTTGCAAATTACTTCTACATGCCATGGAAATAGTTTTTGGCCGACAATGTCGACTCTTGCAACAAGGAAACCGGTAAACTGCAACGGAAATAATTTTCATCTGATGCACCAAAACAAGACAAGAGGTAAGGAATACGTACACAGTTTGCAGCATGCTGCTCTTTTGGCCAAAGGTATGAAATATCAATTAAACATTCATATTGCAAAATGGGAACGAGCTTCTGGCTCTTTTGTTTTTAGCAATTTTATTGCTCGCCACACAAAATGAATATATTTTTGTGTATCTCTTTAATGGCAAAGCAAAAAGCAGCTAATTTGAAAAGAATATGAGAATCCTCTTATATTCGCAGGACAAATGTGGCTTTCATTTTGTAGAACTTGACCTCGAAGTTGAAAACAAGTGCAGAAATTGAAAGTCTTCCACAAAGAAATAAAACCGAATCACAATTCAATCTAAACTTGAAGCACTTTCATGTTGGATGGATGCTTCCTTCAACTTTTTGAGCCCACTGTACGCTCGAAGCTGAGCCAGACGAACTCATTTTAAGTGGCTCTCAGACAAATGGTGTCTGATGAAAAATTAATTACGGTATTATTGAAATTAAAATGCGAGTGGGAGCCTAGCAATTAATTTGAAATAAAAATGCAACAATATTGCGTTTAAGCGCTTATATGAAAAACAAAAATGCAATCATAAGGGCATTAAATGCAGAGCGGCAGTAAAAAATAAAACATCAGCATATACACACGTATTTATAATTAGTAAATGCATTGTTTAATTACATTCCATAACAATTTCGACTAAAGAATAAAAGAAAGCTTAAGTCGCATTCTTTGAACTGAATTCGTTTTCAATCCAAGCAAATCATTCAACTGCTGCCAAGCCAAAATCCAGTCATAAACCTGGTTAGACGGCAAAGGATGACTGAATGCCAAATTGTTGACAATTTTGTTAATTAACTGCAATTAACATTTTTATGGCGTGTTCTCGGTCCTAATTAATTGTACAACGCAAACGTAAAAATGACAATCGACAAATGTACAAGAGGCAATTGACAAAGACAAACTCTTTTTAATTATTTACGTGCCAGAAGAAAAATGGGAAAACAAAGAGAAAAGAAAGAATACATCAAAAAATTGTATCTTTTCACACTCTCTTTTCATCGACCTTTTGGAAAATTGTTGGTTTGTTTTGCCATTAGAAGATCAAAAACAAAACTTTTCTGCAATTCAGCCCACTCTGATATTTCGAATAGGATACTTTGGGATAGTATAATACGAGTATATATAATGTTTGGCTAAATCTCACACTCAGACAAATCGCAAATAGGCTGGTGTAAATGTCTTTTTGTCTTTTTGCCTCTTTGTTTGTCAAGTCAACGTCAAAGTCATCAGAAAATGTTACGCACGAGCTCAGTCAGGCACATAAATTAGCTGACGAAGTGGGGAGCGTGAGGAAATAGCGGGAATTAAACCAAATTAGCCTGGACATTGTGTAAACAAAGACTTTTTATGCTGCAGCTTTGCTGTTCCTTGAACTTCTTTGCCTATTCAGTTGTTCTTTATTTTATTTAGACAAATGCGAAATACTTTTTAAGTAGACTTTTCCGTGTCAAAAGCAACCTTACCCGGAAATCATTTATATAGGCATTATTCATAAGTCCGAGCTCGTTTCAAATACTGCATATATACATGAAAAACTCGAAGTGAATGGCTTGAATAGATTCTACTATGATCATTTCAAATGGAATACATAATAAATTGCAAATAAATCCACAAATAATTTAAACCAGCTTTCCTCTGACCTTTTGGCCAATTTGCCAATTTCTTGTGCTCTGACTCTGCCTTTGCTCATTAAAATGAAAAGCATTTAATTTGCACATTAACTCATTAAAAAGTTAATTCATACCCGGCAGTATGAAGTTCAGAAAAGGCCCTCACCAATTATGTAAAGCCATTAAATGACCAACAGCGCGAAACTTTCAATGCGGGCCGAATACTTGTACCTTTCGATATACAACATTTTTCACTGCTGTCTCATGCAATTGGCTACAAGCATTAATATCTAGTTAATTAATGGTGGCCAACCGAACGTTCGACCAAAGCCTGGCACGCCTAAATGAAATAATTAATTTAATTTCCGCGCAAAATGGGGAAATGTTGGGGTTTCTGGGCTCATTATGACGAGCGTTCGACACTGCCAATAATTTAATTGTTTCCTCTGGCCTAAGGATGAACATTTTTAGTTCGCCACTGCCATTACAAAAGTCATTGAAATGATGTGCAAAGTTGTACCTTTGCCGCTGAGAGAATTGTTCAAAAATTTCACCATTTTTTCATTAAAGCTTTAATACGGCAGTGCGAGTGGCAGTGGCAGTGTCGAGCGCTTCCAATTATGAAATTCTGTGTATTTGTGCTGGATAAAGTGTTGTTACGCAATGTGGTGCTGCAGACAATCAAACTGATCCATATAGAGTATGAAAAAGCGACAGCGTCGAACATATTTGTAAAATATTTCGGCCATAATGCCATCGACCATGAACACTGTCTGACTGCTGTTGACAGCCTTGTGGCATTAAAGTGCGGGGTCATATATGAAATATAATCGTATAAAAATGTATGAGTGCGTGTGCGTGTGTCTGTGCTCGTATTTATGCTGAAGGTCGTACGATTATGTTGACTCGGCAAATTGACCAACCTGCTAGTATTCATGTACAAGTACATATGTATCTCTAATGACATTATAGTGTTGCTCATTATGTTCAACTTTAGATGCAGATCTCTTAGTCGAAGCATTTTATCATCTAGGAATCTAGGCCATAGCCGTACGGACGACACATCAAGTAATTGCGTTAAGAGCACAAAACACAGAGCACTGCATCCAAAGCACAGCCACGCGAAGCAAAGCAAAGCAAAGTAAAGCAAGGCAGAAGGAAAGCTAAGCGAAGCAAAGCAAAGCAAAGCAATGCCAGGAGGCAAATTTCATTTAAGACCATAGCCGACAAACAACTCGCGCCTTCCTTCCAAAATGTCCTCCTCATGCAAATACGCGTGTGCGTGGGTCTGTGTTTGTGTGTGCTTGCACGTGCTGACAACTCAATGGTGCTGATATCTAAGTAGGTACACTGGGAGAAAAAGCAATTGCATTATTATGTCGATTTATGGACAGTAATTTGCTTAAAATTATTTGATTATAATAATAATTATTTGTAAATTAAATTTATCTCTTGCGATGAAACAGAAAGTTGAGAAATTTATTTGGGGTTTATTATGAAAATAAGTTCTTTTAACACTGCGATTCTAATAATAAATGAATTAAAATTTTTTAAATATTTGGAGTCACACAAACATCCTTTGCTTTAGGAATGTTATAAAGCAGATTAATCAAATTTTATTTCAACAATTAAACATTTGCTCATTTCGATTGTCTTTTTAAGTCGAAGCGCTGTTAGAAATTGGGGAACCACTTTTGTGTTCTTTTCGTTTCTTTTCAAATATATAACTATAACTATATCAAATTTTTGTGGAGTTGGTCTGGCA